TATCTCGTGTTCGATTCAATAGAAAGCTCAGATTTGATTATTTTAAGATCATTATAATTTTCAATAATCAATCAATTTTTATGCATGATTATATCAAGTATGTACGGTGTCAAATTATAAAGGGCTCAAGAAATTATTGTAATTCATAATTATATATTAGAGGAAAAATTATTCACATAAAATCTTGGATTATAATATTTTTAATTTTTTTATACCTATTAAATCTACGCAATTATTTAATAATTAAAAAGTTTAGTATTTATTCAAAAAATGTCTTTTAATATGTAATGTGTGATGCCTAATATTCGACTTCGATTATGCACTTGAAATCGTGGCATACTAATTGAAAATAAATTTGAGAGTCGTGATGGGTCAGATTCGGGCCCTCGTTCTGTCAAAAAAATAATATTATTAATAATATTTGAATCGCCAAAAAACCATAAATATGTTATATATAATATTTGACATCGCCTACAAGTTAGGTAGTACCATGGCGGTAAGGAAGCAATGATTATTTTGTTAGACAGTATATAAAAAATTAGAAAAGTAAATATGGATTAAACCAAAATGCAAAATAATAATAAAAAGTTATTTTCTGACAATTGTGACAGAAATTATTTTATTATTAAAAATAATAACATTATAAATTAACTAATATAAGTTAGCTAAACAATTAAGAAATTATTTTTATTATGTAAGACTATTTCCTTTGATGACACAGATCGTATTTAATAAAAGAGCCTATTAATGCTATCTAATTAATCAATAAACAATATGAACAATATATATTGTATATGAGTATGAGGAAATAAAAAGATTAGCACGAAGACATTTTTGGACTGATATGGAAGAACCTTATTACTTCAAATTATAAATTATAATAATACATCACATAATTTAAAATAAGCAAAACTAACTATTATTTTTAATAATATTTTAACTTAGGAAAATATTATAGACTAAATTAACTTCTTTGGGTTGCACTCGGATTGATCTATAACGCTTCGACTGATAATTTTTTTTAATAAAAAATATTAAATAGCAAATTAAATATTATATAATATATATATATATATATATATATATTATATAAATAATATATATATTATATTATATTAATTATTATATATATTTGCACTTTAAATTAAGAATAGTTTAATTATTTTTGATTATAACATAGCATAACAACCTCTGTGATTAAGATTTCGTTACATTGTGCAGGATTAGAAAGACTAATTGATATTCTATACTTTTTGCATGGGCCTTATTTACTTAAATTCTTTTTTTTTTAAATATAATGTAGTTAGTGTCGCGATCTAAACAAGTTAATTATATTGATTTATTTAATTTATTTAATTTAATATTCATTTTTTTTAAAGGTTAGCGGGTTAAGCATGCAATTGAGCTGTTGATGAGTTGAGTTAGGCTTAGGACGTTTTGATCTTTACTAAAAGAGTAGAATCGAAGTGAGATAGGCCAGGCTCAAAACAGGCCAATTTCAAATTTGATTTGAGCTGATACTCCTAATATAAAAGAAAAAAATATAATAAAAACTTTTAATCATGCTAATTAAAAACTTTATAACTAATAATAAGTTTATATTTATAACATATTGAAAATAATGTGAACAGATAATACTATTGAATTTCAAACGTATCGAGCAAGTAAAAATATGAAACAAATATGACAAAAAGTACGCGGAAGAATAACAAGTATGAACCATCGCTCCATTTTGAACGGTCTTCTTCATACTTTGGAAATTGAAATCTCTCTTCCCTTCCATTATATATATAGACATCAATGCCTGCATGGTAGCTACCTCGTGAAGATAAGAGAGAAAGAAGAACAAAAGAGAGAGAAAGCTATAAACTAATATATCTTATCTTTCACCATGAAACTCTCTCTCATCAACCTTCTTTTATCTCTTTCGTTAGTATTTTTGGCTGTCTCTTCTTCTTCTTCTTCTTCTCCTGAGATTTCGAAGTTCAAAGTAATCAACAGGAGAGTTCTAAGAGAGTGCCTGGATGTGAATCCTTATATCTCCATTAATGTCAGCAAAAGCTCCATGCTTCCTGATGAAGGAAACATCACTGTAACTGTGAGCGGTGTAGTTGATCCTGATAAGGATGATTGGATCGCCATGATCTCGCCCTCCAACCTTGAGTAATGCTCCATAAGCTTTCTATAGATATAGTTTTTTAAATTTTTATAATTTGTTTCCTTTCTCATTTATAATTATGACGTGCAGCGTATCGGATTGCCCATTGAACGCGGCCATGTATGCTCAAACTGGAGATCTCAGCAGTCTGCCGCTTCTGTGCCATTATCCAGTGAAGGTAATTAATTAGTAACACAGAAATTTTAAAATCTTGTTAATATGTTTATCAATCAAAATACTATTTAAAACCTGCAATAATATTGATGTAAAAATTTCTGATTTATTTGTAACAGTACGTCTATG